ATTTTTTGTTTGGGTACATTATTGTTCGTGTACATGCTCACATCTGAAACAAACTTTATGTGCTTGATAACTCTCCCACCCGCAGACATCTACACGTCAATACCGATTTATATTCATAGCGGCAAGTGCTATGTAGCTCCACATAGGGGACACAGGAAGTGAATATACACCTTCATGCGGCGTCGGAACTGCGTAGGAAATTCACAGCCGCGGCTCACACGCGGACGTGCTACAAGTGCGAGGGCCCGCCCAACGCTGCTTGCAACTTTAATGTTTTCCTTGTATCTGCTTCCCCTTGGACATATTATCCATAAACATGGCATTTCTTTTCATATTTATGCTGATGACACACAAATATACTTGCCCGTCAGATCCACAGACCCTGGAATGCTGAGTTCACTTAACAACTGCCTTTGTGAAGTTAAAAAATGGATGTCAAGTAATTTCCTCCAGCTGAACTCGGACAAAATAGAAATCCTGGTCATCGGGTCCCAGCAGATGGTAAAACAAATACTGCCATCTGCTGGTTCCCTAGTAAATCACATTAAGCCTGTGGCAAAGAGCCTTGGTGTTTGGTTTGATAGTAATTTAAATTTCGAGCAGCACACCACAAAGCTTGTTCAATCATGTTTTTATCAACTTAGAAATATAGCAAAAATTCGATCAATGTTAACTTTTAAGGACACCGAGACCATTATTTTATCCTTTTATTTTATTGTATTTTACTAATTTTATATTTATCTTAAATTTGTATTTTAGTCTTTTCAATGTTTTCATGCTTTTATCTTGTATTGTTTTTGTATTATTGTCTTTACACTTGTTAAAGTGCACGAAATTTTTTGGGGACATGTATCATATCAAGACGCACAAAAAAGCCTCAACAACCCATACCCTAGTCAACAGAAAGTCGGCCATTTTGAATTTTACGGCCATTTTTGGATGATTTACACACTTCGTACTTTAACGAACTCCTCCTACGGATTTAGTCGGATCGACATCAAATTTCTGCTGTGCCTTCTAAAGGCATTGACGATGAAAAGTTGTGCTATTTGCGAGTTTTCGTCAATGGACATGTCTGTAGCGTCGATGATTCGCCATGAAACAGGAAGTTGTAACTTCAGTGTACATGCTTGCATTGGGCGTTGGGCGGGCCCTCGCACTTGTAGCGCGTCCGGGTGTAAGCCGGAGCTCTGCCGGTGCGGCTGTGAATTTGCTACGAGGTTCCGACGCCGCATGAAGGTGCTACAGTGAGGAAAATAAGTATTTGAACACCCTGCTATTTTGCAAGTTCTCCCACTTAGAAATCATGGAGCGGTCTGAAATTGTAGGTGCATGTCCACTGTGAGAGACATAATCTAAAACAAAAATCCAGAAATCACAATGTATGATTTTTTAACTATTTATTTGTATGATACAGCTGCAAATAAGTATTTGAACACCTGTCTATCAGCTAGAATTCTGACTCTCAAAGACCTGTTAGTCTGCCTTCAAAATGTCCACCTCCACTTCATTTATTATCCTAAATTAGATGCACCTGTTTGAGGTCGTTAGCTGCATGAAGACACCTGTCCACCCTATACAATCAGTAAGAATCCAACTACTAACATGGCCAAGACCAAAGAGCTGTCCAAAGACACTAGAGACAAAATTGTCCACCTCCACTAGGCTGGAAAGGGCTACGGAGAAATTGCCAAGCAGCTTGGTGAAAAAAGGTCCACTGTTGGAGCAATCATTAGAAAATGGAAGAAGCTAAACATGACTGTCAGTCTCCCTCGGACTGGGGCTCCATGCAAGATCTCACCTCGTGGGGTCTCAATGATCCTAAGAAAGGTGAGAAATCAGCCCAGAACTACACGGGAGGAGCTGTCAATGACCTGAAAAGAGCTGGGACCACCGTTTCCAAGGTTACTGTTGGTAATACACTAAGACGTCATGGTTTGAAATCACGCATGGCACGGAAGGTTCCCCTGCTTAACCCAGCACATGTCAAGGCCCGTCTTAAGTTTGCCAATGACCATTTGGATGATCGTCATGGGAGAAAGTCATGTGGTCAGATGAGACCAAAATAGAACTTTTTGGTCATAATTCCACTAACTGTGTTTGGAGGAAGAAGAATGATGAGTACCATCCCAAGAACACCATCCCTACTGTGAAGCATGGGGGTTGTAGCATCATGCTTTGGGGGTGTTTTTCTGCACATGGGACAGGGCGACTGCACTGTATTAAGGAGAGGATGACCGGGGCCATGTATTGCCAGATTTTGGAGAACAACCTCCTTCCCTCAGTTAGAGCATTGAAGATGGGTCGAGGCCGGGTCTTCCAACATGACAATGACCCGAAGCACACAGCCAGGATAACCAAGGAGTGGCTCTGTAAGAAGCATATCAAGGTTCTGGCGTGGCCTAGCCAGTCTCCAGACCTAAACCCAATAGAGAATCTTTGGAGGGAGCTCAAACTCCGTGTTTCTCAGCGACAGCCCAGAAACCTGACTGATCTAGAGAAGATCTGTGTGGAGGAGTGGGCCAAAATCCCTCCTGCAGTGTGTGCAAACCTGGTGAAAAACTACAGGAAACATTTGACCTCTGTAATTGCAAACAAAGGCTACTGTACCAAATATTAACATTGATTTTCTCAGGTGTTCAAATACTTATTTGCAGCTGTATCATACAAATAAATAGTTAAAAAATCATACATTGTGATTTCTGGAATTTTTTTTTTTAGATTGTCTCTCACAGTGGACGTGCACCTACGATGACAATTTCAGACCCCTCCATGATTTCTAAGTGGGAGAACTTGCAAAATAGCAGGGTGTTCAAATACTTATTTTTTTTAATTTTCCTCACTGTATATGTCACTTCCTGTGTTCCCTATGTGGAGCTACATAGCACTTGCTGCTATGAATATAAATCGGTATTGGCGTGTAGATGTCTTCAGGGTGGGACAGTTATCAAGCACGTAAAGTTTGGTTCAGATGTGAGCATGTACACTGAAGTTACACAACTTCCTGTGTCATGGCGAAGACTTGATCTTTGACGCCACGCCACGCCCCTTGACGAAAACTCGCAAATAGCACAACTTTTCATCTTCAATGCCTTTAGAAGGCACAGCACAAATTTGACGTTGATCGACTAAATCCCTAGGAGGAGTTCGTTAAAGTACGAAGTGTGTAAATCATCCAAAATTTGACATAAAATTCAAAATGGCCGACTTCCTGTGGTTTTAGGGCATCGCTCCAAGAGGCTTTTTTGTGCGTCTGGACAAGATACACGTACCACAGAAAATTCGTGCACGTAGGTGAAACGTGCGGCGAGGGCTGCTTTGTTAAAAGTCACTTCCTGTTGCCAGCAGGTGGCGCTATGACTGTGGGTGAATGTCAGCATGTACATGTGTTCAGGGCGGGACTCTCATCCTACATGTACACTTTGGTGCAGATGTGAGCATATACACTGAAGTAACAACAACTTCCTGTGTCGTGGCGAAGAGTTGATCTTTGACGCCACGCCACGGACACGCCCATTGACGAAAACTCGCAAATAGCACAACTTTTCATCGTCAATGCCTTTAGAAGGCACAGCAGAAATTTGACGTTGATCCGACTAAATCCCTAGGAGGAGTTCGTTAAAGTAGATTAGGCAAATTAACCAGCTGAAGATGCACAGGCATCATTAGGCCTAGGCTACTTGTAACCACTATCCATGAGCAGAATTTATAAATGAACATCAGATTTGATTGGAATTTAATGGCAAACTATAGGCTGTGCTTGACCATTAAAGCAGCTTTTTTTGTGTGGGAGTATAATGAAGAGACACTCTAACATATCGCCATTAAGTTCTTAAAATAACTCAAGCACAGAGAAACTACACAAATAAAATTGTGACAGTTTGGTAGGTTATTAAAACATTTCCAGCGACGAGCTACAGATCAGCTGCAGCACTCACGTTTCTGCCCGCCTGCGTCGGAGGAACGGGATGTTTAACGAGCTTAATTACCTGGAGGAGGAGACTGACTTCGGCTCTGTGTGTAAAAAAACAAAAAAAACAAAGAAAAAACAAACTGTAAAACTCCTGACTGATGAAAACAACAACTCTGGACTCCATTAGCTGTTGGCTGTAAACACACCGAGTCTGGCTACTATTTGTATTTAATGCTGACGATTGATCTGAAGCGGACAGCGGTGAGACTTGTGTGCTATTTGACTGCTGATTGTAATTTATTGGTTTGCAAACAACGGTGGAAAAGAGAGGAACAGTAGCAGAGAAACGGCAGACATTATCCAGTTAAAGCGAGTAGCCTCTACTCGCCCATTCAGAAATTCACTGCAAGGCAAGCTGATTAATTGTAATTTCCAACATAAAATCAATACTATAAAGTTTTACAATTGTATTACTCCATAGTTTTTACTAGATGTTACAAAATTTTATTTACCTGCAGGGGTCTCCTATAATTGGAGGAATGGCAAGATTTACCTGAGCTGCTCAATGTTCCCGAATGTCTGTCGGCCATCTTGGTTTTGACAAATTTAAGTTGCACTTACAATGGCTTACCAGATGGTGGCAGTGTATGGCATGACACACTAGTGTCCACTGTAGTGGCTGATGTGCAACTAGAATATCAGAACCTCTGGCCATTCAAGAAAATGGCTTTTGAATAGCTGTCCACTGTAGTGACCACTATGCGTGAAAGGGTTAGTAGGCATTACATTAGTATGTCAAACAGACATGTTCTAAATGTCAGTTATGGTTCTAGATAAACTCTACGGCACTTTAGCTTGGCTGGTAGCGATGGCTTCTCCCTCTCCTGCTCTCTCTTGCCTTGATGTCCAGTTACTCCTCTGCCGCCTATAGTCGTAATGCTATGTGTTACAAGTGTAGTTTATTAGTAGCCATGGAGGTGAGGCTTAGTGATTTAGAAGTTCAGCTGCAGCAGAGTACAGGGCAGGTAGACTTTTAAAAATTAGATACTTACTGTCTTTCTCTCTGTATGTCTGTCTGTTGCTATAGAAGCGGAGCGGAAGAGAGGGAATCAGACGTCACCGGTGTCGGCACTGTGACAAATCCTTCAAAAGATTGGACTCTTTAAAGATTCATCAGAGAGTTCACACTGGAGAGAAACTGTACAGCTGTGACCAGTGTGGGAAAACTTTCACTACACCAGGTGCACTAAAAGTCCACCAACGTGTTCACACTGGAGAGAAACCATACAGCTGTGACCAGTGTAGGAAAGCTTTCACTACAGCGGGCCACCTAAGAATCCACCAACATGTTCACACTGGAGAGAAACCTTACAGCTGTGACCAGTGTGGGAAAGCTTTCAATCATTCAAGTACACTAAAAGTCCACCGGGCTGTTCACACTGGAGTTAAACCTCACTGGTGTGAACAATGTGGGAAAACTTTCAGTAAGTCTGATAAGTTACAAAACCACATGCGTGTTCACACTGGAGAGAAGCCGTACTGGTGTGAACAATGCGGAAAAACTTTCAGTAGGTCCGATCAATTAAAAATCCACCAACGTGTTCACACTGGAGAGAAACCACACTGGTGTGAACAGTGTGGAAAAACTTTCACTCAATTAGGTCACCTAAAAATCCATCTGCGTATTCACACTGGAGAGAAACCATACTGGTGTGACCAGTGTGGAAAAACCTTCGCTTCATCAGGTGAACTAAAAAGCCACCAACGTGTTCACACTGGAGAGAAACCGTACAGCTGTGACCAGTGTGGAAAAACCTTCACTTCAGCAGGTGAACTAAAAGGCCACCAACGTGTTCACACTGGAGAGAAACCGTACAGCTGTGACCAGTGTGGAAAAACTTTTGCTCATTCAGGTGTCCTAAAAAAACACCAACGTGTTCACACTGGTGAGAAACCCCACTGGTGTGAACAGTGTGGAAAAACTTTCACTCAATCAGGTCACCTAAAAATCCATCTGCGTATTCACACTGGAGAGAAACCTTACAGCTGTGACCAGTGTGGAAAAACTTTCACTCAATCAGGTCATCTGAAAAGCCACCAACGTGTTCACACTGGTGAGAAACCTTACAGCTGTGACCAGTGTGAAAAAGCATTCATTTCATCAAGTAACCTAAAAGCCCACCTGCGTGTTCACACTGGAGAGAAGCCGTACTGGTGTGAACACTGTGGGAAGACTTTCACTACATCAAGTGAGCTAAAAAAACACCAACGTGTTCACACTGGAGAGAAGCCGTACTGACAAGCATTCACACAGCATCAATTAATTTTATTTTTTTTAAGCTAAGCTAGCTCTTTCCTCCTACTCTCCTCCTCATTACCCTCATTACAACCACCTGTTTATAATGTGACTGTGCTGGATTAACATCATGGTTAGCGCTCCTTCACTAATAAACACAGCATTAGCAGTAATATGTTGGGCAGTAATACTGTAATATTACTTTTCCCAGTAAAGAATAGTGTGACGGATTACTATTTCCAAAACAGTAATGTTATTACAGTTATTAATCATATTAAGGCTGCCATACTGTATGGACCATCCCTGACGTGAATGCGCTGCAGCTCAGCGGCATCGGACCTTATCCGCTATTAGCCAAAAAGGAAGACGGGAGAACAGGGAGGAGAGGTATTTTGACAGCTCTAAGTAACATTGTTGCCGTTATTGTGTCAGTCTACGATGCAAAGAACATTGTCGTCCGTTATCCAACGAAGGTTAAAATGAAGGGCAACTGGACTTGGTTGAAGCTACTGGAAGACGTTTCGTCCCTTATCCAAAGGACTTCTTCAGTTCTGACTGACTGGCAGGGAAACTCAGCTATTTAACCTCAGTGGGGTCGTTATCCCGGGTCATCGATACCGCTGGTTCGTTAGTGTTCCTTGTTGCTGTGACGACAGTCGTTACAGTCGTTAAGACTACCTGTGGCCAAGACTAAACGACCATCGTTGGTATCTTCACCTGAGGCCAATAGGTTACGTTTGTTGAGTTTCCTGGGAAGTGATGAAAGGACAGCATTGTAAGTGGGGGATAAGTGGTGGCGTAGACCCCCTCCCCTGTTCAATGACGGCTTCTCAACCCTGGTGTAGATGGCTTCCTTGACACCTCTTTCAAACCATCCATCTTCTCTGTCTAAATATGCACCTGGTGGTCCTCAAACGAGTGTCCTCTGTCCTTCAGATGTAAGTAGACAGCAGAGTCTTGACCTGAGGAGTTGGCCCTTCTGTGTTGAGCCATGCGTTTGTGTAGTGGTTGTTTAGTCTCCCCAATATACAGGTCTGTGCATTCCTCACTGCATTGGACCGCATACACTAGATTGCTTTTCTTGTGTTTGGGTGTGCGGTCTTTGGGGTGGACCAGCATCTGTCTTAGTGTGTTCTTGGGTTTAAAAAACACAGGGATGTTATGTTTGTTAAAAATCCTCCTGAGTTTCTCTGATACTTCAGACATGTATGGAATCACAATGTTGTTGCGTTTGACCTTCTTTTCCTCCCCTGTAGTTTTGTTCTTCTTGGATTTTGTGGCTGTCTTCACAAAGGTCCATTTAGGGTATCCACAGGCTGTAAGTGCCCCCTTCAGGTGGTTCTGTTCCTTCTCTCTGGCTTGGGCGCTTGTTGGTATGTTTTCCGCTCTGTGGTGCAGTGTTCTCATGACCCCTAGCTTGTACTCCAGTGGGTGGTGGGAATCGAACAGTAGGTATTGGTCTGTGTGTGTGGGTTTTCTGTAAACACCAATCTGCAGGCTCCTGCCTCTTCAATGTGTACAGCGCAGTCCAGGAAGGCCAAACTGTTGTTGTGAACATCTTCTCGTGTGAACCTGATGTTACTGTCCACAGAGTTGATGTGTTCTGTGAAGGCTTGCACTTCCTGGCTTTTGATTTTGACCCAGGTGTCGTCCACATATCTGTACCAGTGGCTCGGTGCTGTTCCTCTGAAGGAGTTGAGGGCTTCATTCTCCACTTCTTCCATGTAGATGTTGGCCACAATCGGGGATACCGGTGAGCCCATGGCACAGCCATGCTTCTGTCTGTAGAATCCACCGTTGTACTGGAAATAGGTGGTGTTTAGACAGAGGTCGAGTAATTTGCAGATCTGGTCAGGGCTGAGGCTAGTTCTGTTGTCCAGGGTGTTGTCTTGTGTTAGCCGTTTCCTAACGGTTTCTACTGCCTCTATGGTGGGGATGCAGGTGAACAAAGTAGTCACGTCATAGGATACCATGGTTTCATCTGGATCCAGTTTTAGTCCTCGAACTTTGTTTACAAAGTCAATAGAGTTTTGGATGTGGTGAGGCGTGTTTCCCACCAAAGGAGCTAAGATGGTAGAAATGTGTTTGGCAATGTTGTAGGTGACCGAGTTAATGCTGCTGATTATCGGCCTGAGTGGGGCTCCTTCTTTGTGTATCTTGGGTAGTCAATAAATATATGGAATGGCTTCTCCAGGATACAAACGGTAATATTGTTCACGGGTGATGGTGTTGTCCTTCTGTAACTGTTGTAGACATTCTATGGCCTTTTTCTTGTATCCGCTGGTTGGGTCTCGTCTCAGTGTCTCATACGTGTTTGTGTCCATCAGTCTTCCAGTAGCTTCAACCAAGTCCAGTTGCCCTTCATTTTAACCTTCGTTGGATAACTATGACCTGGATGACTGAGAATCTTCATAGACATTGTCGTCCGTTGTAAATAAGTAGGCTAGAGTAGCTAATATTACTCTTTTAAGGAGTAGCCTATATGCTAAGTAACTAGATAATAGCTTTATTATTTCTGAGTAACTTGCCCAACACTGAGTTGACAATAAGCATCGAATAAATTGGGTATGATTTTATTATTGAAAAGTGACCATATCACCCCAATTCTGAGGTCTCTTCATTGGTTGCCCATTAATTTCAGAATTGATTTTAAAATCCTGTTATTTGTATACAAATCTCTATGCAACCAAGCACCGTGCTACCTATGTGAACTGCTTCAACCATATACTCCATCGAGAAGTCTGAGATCAGGTGAAAAGTATCTGTTATTAGTCCCTCACTGCAGACTTAAACGCAGAGGGGATCGAGCATTTTCTGTGGTTGGGCCTCGCCTGTGGAACAATTTGCCCACAGAAGTTAGGATAGCCCCTTCTGTGATTTCTTTTAAGTCACTTTTAAAAACGCACTTGTATTCTTTGGCCTATAAATAAGGTTGTTTATTTATACATATACAGTGGGTACGGAAAGTATTCAGACCCCTTTAAATTTTTCACTCTTTGTTTCATTGCAGCCATTTTCCAAAAATCAAAAAAGTTCATTTTATTTCTCAGTAATGTACACTCAGCACCCCATCTTGACAGAAAAAAACAGAAATGTAGAAATTTTTGCAAATTTATTAAAAAGAAAAACTGAAATATCACATGGTCATAAGTATTCAGACCCTTTGCTCAGTATTTAGTAGAAGCACCCTTTTGATCTAATACAGCCATGAGGTGTTTTGGGAAAGATGCAACAAGTTTTTCACATCTGGATTTGGGTATCCTCTGCCATTCCTTCTTGCAGATCCTCTCCAGTTCTGTCAGGTTGGATGGTAAACGTTGGTGGACAGCCATTTTCAGGTCTCTCCAGAGATGCTCAATTGGGTTTAAGTCAGGGCTCTGGCTGGGCCATTCAAGAACAGCCACGGAGTTGTTGTGAAGCCACTCCTTCGTTATTTTAGCGGTGCGCTTAGGGTCATTGTCTTGTTGGAAGGTAAACCTTCGGCCCAGTCTGAGGTCCAGAGCACTCTGGAAAAGGTTTTCGTCCAGGATATCCCTGTACTTGGCCGCATTCATCTTTCCCTCGATTGCAACCAGTCGTCCTGTCCCTGCAGCTGAAAAACACCCCCACAGCATGATGCTGCCACCACGCTTCACTGTTGAGACTGTATTGGACAGGTGATGAGCAGTGCCTGGTTTTCTCCACACATACGGCTTAGAATTAAGGCCAAAAAGTTCTATCTTGGTCTTATCAGACCAGAGGATCTTATTTATCACCATCTTGGAGTCCTTCAGGTGTTTTTTAGCAAACTCCATGCGGGCTTTCATGTGTCTTGCACTGAGGAGAGGCTTCCGTCGGGCCACTCTGCCATAAAGCCCCGACTGGTGGATTGCTGCAGTGATGGTTGACTTACTACAACTTTCTCCCATCTCCCGACTGCATCTCTGGAGCTCAGCCACAGTGACCTTTGGGTTCTTCTTTACCTCTCTCACCAAGGCTCTTCTCCCCCGATAGCTCAGTTTGGCCGGATGGCCAGCTCTAGGAAGGGTTCTGGTCATCCCAAACGTCTTCCATTTGAGGATTATGGAGGCCAATGTGCTCTTAGGAACCTTAAGTGCAGCAGAATTTTTTTGTAACCTTGGCCAGATCTGTGCCTTGCCACAATTCTGTCTCTGAGCTCTTCAGGCAGTTCCTTTGACCTCATGATTCTCATTTGCTCTGACATGCACTGTGAGCTGTAAGGTCTTATATAGACAGGTGTGTGGCTTCACTAATCAAGTCCAATCAGTATAATCAAACACAGCTGGACTCAAATGAAGGAGTAGAACCATCTCAAGGATCAGAAGAAATAGACAGCACCTGAGTTAAATATGAGTGTCACGGCAAAGGGTCTGAATACTTATGACCATGTGATATTTCAGTTTATATATATATATATATATATATATATATATATATATATATATATATATATATATATATATATATATATATATAGTTATATATAATTTTCTTTTTGTTAATTTTTCTCTCCTTGGAGTATGATGCTGTTTTTTCTAAGTCTGATACTGGCATTTCTGTTTTTTATTGTTATTGTTGACGAGTCTGATACTGCTTTGGCTATTCCTGTTTAAAGCTGTTCTTAACTTTGCTGTACTTTTCTATGCTGTGCTGTTATGCATGGTATTATTGTCTTTTAATTTTGTAGTTCTGTAAAGCACTGTGGTCAGTCAGTGGCTGCTATAAAACGTGCTATATAAATGAAATGAACTTGAACTTATTGCTTGTTATAGGTATATGTCTAATGTTTGACTTTGTTGTCGATTGATCAATCATATAGCCTATATACACTTTGCTGTATGAATGGTTGCTTTTTAAGTCTTTATGTCCTTATGTTAAGGTTTTTGGCAAGTTATAAAATAATTTTTTGTGAATGGTTGTGACTGGATTTATATAAGGCCTTTTCAGACTGTTTTGATCTGCGGAGTCGCTCTGCGCTCCACATCAACAGACAGGCAAACAAACGCTCTGCGAGGTAACCATGGCAACGGTTTTTGTGTAACTGGCGCGATCCCATGAAACTGTCACGGTCGTTCTCGCCTCATATATATGTTAGCAAGTCATAAATGTTTTCAGGAGAGGAGAAGTGATTTGGGTTATTTTATTATTATTTAAGACCAACTCACTGGTAAGACAGTAACATGGCCACTTATTCTGCTAGCTCCCTGTAGATCCCAATAATGTAGTCACTTCCTGATCATGTAATAATTCCAAATGGCCAAGTGGCAGTTACATATGGTTTTACTGAATAATTAAAAATACCTAAAGAAACCTCATCTCTCGACTGGCCACTCTCTATTGTCTCAGAAGAGACACCTTTTGTGCTGTGTCAGCCAACAAAACTGTCGTACG